TATAATTTTTTTTTTTACTCCTCCGATTCATTTCTTTTGTTATCATTGCAGTGATGGAGAAGCAGCTGCTTGCAGACATGCAGGAAAACGCCTTAATTCGCAGTATTGAGGAGGAATACAGGAAAGCCTTTTTATACATCAATAAAGGTTTGAACGCAGATGAAAATGGTTACAAGGAAGACGCACGGAACTTTTACAGACAAGGACAGGAGCATTTGCTTAGAGGGCTGGGTGTTTCCTTACAGTCACCCGAGTACATTGGGCCAGCTTGGGATTCTGCCCGACAGATGCAAGTGAAGATGCAGGAAACACTGGAGAATGTGAACACCAGACTGAACATCTTAAAACAGGGCATGATGGGGCGTGTTCCAGAACCCCGTGCAGCATTAGCTCCTCAATACCCATCACTGCCAGCAGCACAGAAGGAAAGGCCTGGAAGACCACCACTGCCAACAATGCCTCCATTCCCTGCAGAGCCAGTAAGCGGCATCGCCTGTGTACCAACAAACAACCCGACACCATTGAATCCCTTCACAGAGGGTGCAGTTGCACCACCAGCATACACCCCTCAGGCCACAGATGGACATTACTGCGTCTCCTATGGCACAGACTCTGGTGAACACTCAATAGTAGGAGATGATTTCTATTCAATGACCGCACAGCCGCCTCCGGTGCAGAGTCTGGGAGTGGACGCAGAGGAACTCGTACTTATTCCAAGAGGGGTTCAGATCTTCTTTGTGACACCAGATGGAGACGTGAGTGCCCCCTCCTATCCAGGCTATCTCCGCATTATTAAGTTCATGGACACCAGCAGTGAAATGGCTCAGACCCGGCCTCCAGCTTTCCTACAGGTAAGAGACGCACACTGAACCTTTTTTTTTTTTTTATTTGATCCACAGGTTTAAATGGCAACTCTAGGTACACCCACCACCCCCCCGCCCCCCGAAAAAACCCAATTATAAAAACAAATTTGAATATCCTTTCAGGTTAAATGTTCAGAGATATCATATTATGGCGACTTGATAGAGCTGAGGAGCTTAGGAGATAAGTAGGGCTGAAACCAACTAATCCAGTTAATCAATGAGAATTGTTGTCAACGATTCTCATTATCAATTAGTTGGTCTGGATCCCTCCTCCATGATGTTTCATTGGCTCCCAGCAGGAAGGGGAGAGGACACCGCCGCGGTGCCG